GATGTTCTGCAAATTTTCCTTAAAATTGACATAATTTAATGCTGTATACATTGCATTTCACCACCTCATCCGGTAATGACGAACTGCTAGCCAGCAGCAAAACAGGGCCCGAACAGACAAGAAATATTCTTTGTCTGAAAGTGAAACAGGTTGCTACCCCCTACAAACCAATTCGCCAGGTTACCAGCATTGAGCCTTTATCGCCATTTTTGGCAATAATTACATTTAAAGGATCCTTTGCGGAAGTGCTTTCCAGCTTTTTTTAAAGCAAGAATTATGTTTTGCATTAATATGTAATCGTATTAAAAAGTATAAGCTAAAGTTTAAGCTTATTATTGGTTTAAGAAAATTTGTTAAGTTCTTTATTTTTCAAAACGAAGGGCTACTTTGCATGGTTAAAAATAACTTAAAAAATGTGATGTAATTTTTAAGTACTATTCTAGTAGCATTTTAAAATCCTTTTGGCATTAAATGCACTGATTTGTATATCATTCTATGACAGTTTTTCTCATTTTTATATAAAATACATTGCATATGTTCATACGAAGTATTTTATGCATGTTCAATAAGATATTGAACATACATACACTATATTCTACAAAATTGTGTGTTTGTTTCCCTCCCCCTTCATTCTGCCCTCATATTCTTTCTGTAAATGTTAGTTAAAACCAGGGCTGTGGAGTCGGAATTAGACAGATTTTTACATAAAAGAAGTCGGAGCTGGAGTGGCTAAAAGCACGTCGACTCCGACTCCAGTTTTTGTTGGACGGTTTGAATTTGAAATGAAATTAAAGTGAACTGAAAAAAAAAATTAATGACAAACTGAATTAGTATTTTTATTTATAGACTAATTTATGTTAATAAATAGTTCTTTTCCATTTTATTGACCTATTAATAAATCAATATAAGCGAGGAGTATGGATATGATATTTGCCATTATTGATTAAACTGATTCATTAAGTTTAGTTACAATGAGATCATAGGTAAATTTAGGTAAGCAGCAATAGCACTAAGAACACCCAAAATTCGTGCCATTTCTTAGGAAGCGAGGAGGAAAAAGTGCATTTTATTGATCAAGCAGTGCGATGGGGAATTACACTGCACAAAAAAAAGGGGAGACAGTTCTATATCTCCCTTTCTACTAGGCCGATTTGCGAAATTCAACTTGTGTTTTTCATCTCTTGAAAGCGCAACTTAGGATATGTATTAGATTTATATATGGGTTCCATATAGGTATGGCGGACACGGGGGGCGAGGGGGGGGGGGGGGGGGGGGGTTTCTCGAAGGACGGGCCATTAGGGGGTTTCCATCTTTTGGTTATGACTCAATTATTCAAATTGCCAAGTTTCATGAAAGTCGTGTAGAAGTTTTTAAAATTAGCTCTCAAAATTTTAGATCTCATGTTATTGACTTTATATATATTTATTAATATCTCTTTTTTTATTAAACTACTTTTCTTCTTCCAGATCAAATTTAGCTAATCCAATGTAAGTCATTTTTTTATGATCTTTTTTAAATTCTATTTTTAAATATTTGTTAAATTTTTCGAAATAATTTGTATTAAAGCTATAAATGGTTCGGATCTCTTAAAGAGAGTATATTCTAGGCATGCCTGTAAAAATAGGTTTTAATTAAAAGTCTAAGATACATGAATTTACATTTGGGACAGTTTTAAATCGGCATCTTTTTGTGAGTGATAAGACACCAAATGGCTTATGCACTGTGTAAATATTGAAAGTAGAAAGATGACTTTTTTCCACTTGTCTACTTGGAAGAAATCTGTGGTGTACACACATGAATTCCTTGTACAATATTAATTATATGCATTTTTTCTTCAGATTTAAATTTATGAGTGAATTAATCCATTTCGCAGTAGAGAATAATACCAATAGAATAAATAGAATATGTGGCAAGAATTAGATAATTCTTAAGATGATATAAATTTTGTGTATTCTGAGTTAATGAAAGAAATTTAATACTGTTAAGCAAACCTAGGGCCAGAATGTCGCTATGATAAACAAATATAGTGAATTTAAAGAGTGCATTTATTCTATTGTGGTTTATGCGCTATCGACGAAGTAAATTTAATTCAAATCAATAAGTTTAAATGAAGTGCAAGAAAAAGTGGGTGTAAATTACCATTTCGTACAAGAAAGCACACATCAGACTTTTTATTAATGTGCTACCACTTAGTGCCAAATATGTTGGTGCAAAATCTAAGTAGATGGCAACCATAATGATGCATACATAAAGCGAAATTCAATTTGCGCTTTTATCTCTTGAAAGCGCAACTTAGGATATGTATTAATAACAAATAATATTTTTTTTTAAAATAGTAGTGTATCATATAATATGTATGATGTGCTCAGTGCCAAATTTGTGCAATTCTGTGAATTTTTTAAGTGAGAACAGCTGTGTACAGGTCATCCTCATGTGCACAGCAATTTATTTTTGTTTAAAAAAATTAGAGAATTGCATAAAATCGGCATCTTGTGCAGCCTTTGCATTGCAAAGCTATTTCATGCTGCTGTATAAACAAGCTGCCATATTTCGAAACTGAAGTAGCTGAGTTTGGGAATTATATACCTACCAGTTGCTGTGCTATGTTTAAACTAAACTATAAATATTTAATCTACAGAAAGAAAAAAATTGCACTGCTATAATGTTCTGTTGAAGGTAAAATTTCTGTAATAGAGAGAGCTGTGTTTAGTTTCATACACTCAGCTTTTTTGAGCTTTGTACCTAGTAGTTATAATTTGCAGTTTTTCTGTGAAGTATAAATTTATTCTGAATAATTTTCTGACTGTTTTAACAAGCAAATCATTTATTTGATTATGGATTTTCTCGTTCTTGCATTTTTTGGATGTGCTGAACTCCCTCCTGTTCCTATGTATCAATTCCTATTTCTTACCAAGGTTGCTATAATAAAAAATCTATATTATAGCAACCGTGGTACCAAGTTATTTTTGCAAAATGCCATATTCCTGGCATGCTTCTGTTTTATTTATTGGCTGACTTAGTGAATAATGTGATGCAAAATGCAACAAAAATTAATATAGTATAAACAAACATTGTTCATAGTGTAGGGAAAGGATTATTTAAAAACAAAAAATCTCACGATTGCAGATATGTACGTAATTGGTCTGAAGTTGATGTTGAAATAAAGATTATCTTGTGCATCTGATGCTTAACAGCTGTCAAATCATTTAAATAAATTATGAGTGATTCATTAATGATTAATTACTTGGACTATTCTGTTTAGGGCCGAAGAAAAGGGCCAGCGAAAATGTATCGCAAAGCGGCAAATCTAGCAACGACCCATTATAAACGCGCGCCAATCTAGCCTATGCGTTGGTTCGAATTGCGAGTTATATATTCTATAGTTTAAGACGCATTGAAGTACTAGTTATTTTTAAATCCTTTTTGATATCCTATATATTTAACATTTGGAATGCCCATGACGAAAGTCGGCAATAGAATTTGGGTAAAGCCAATCACCCACTGCTGAAGTATTTTAAGAATTGCACGTACTCGGTATCCATGTCAATCGACCTATTTTCCTTTAAAAAAAAATCCTAGAAGCACAAAGGCACTCACACCCTCACTTTATCTATGTACAAATCGACCTATTTTCACTTAAAAGAAAAGAAATTGGAAAAAATCCAATGTTGTTACCCTTTGTAAAAAGCAGCAAACAAATGAGCGATCTGCACTTACCGAGAATATTTTCAAAGAAAAGGCATCATTCAATATAGAAAATTACGTTTGAACAACCAACGAGATGAAATTATGCTTTAGCGATAATCGGTAGTGAAATAGCGATGCAGGCATCCATTCAGTTATGTTTAGCATTTTTATCTAAATTATAATAATGATCTTTAGTTATTTATCTTATGCTTCCATCGTCACGTGAACCTTTTTTATAATATAAGATAACAAAGATATTGAAATTGACCTTTCATCTAAATTAAAACATCAATCTTAGATAGTTATTTACTATTATACTTCCTTTCTTGCCTCAATTATTAGGGTTGCCGCAATCCTTTTTGGCAGCATTGGCATCAACGATAATTTGGTAATTTTTTTACAGCCCTCGAAACCAAATAATACCTTACATTTAATTAGCGTAAGAATCATACAGTAGAAGGGATTGAATTTGATGTAACTGTGTCGCATACTCACATAAATAATCATAGGGAAAAAACAAGGGTAAAGATATATTTCAGGGCGTATATTCAATCGTACACATTTCCTGCATACAAACAGGATGCTTATAATGACTACTAAGTAAACCTTCATTTACACACCAGTCAATTAATACTTTTTTTCCCTTTCGTTCCAAATCGTACAGAAAGTTCACAGTAATGTCATCACATATAGCCATTTTATGGTGTGCAGTACAAAATAAGCAACATACTTCCTAACTCATATCCAACACAGAAATAAGCCCTTACAAATATTTTCTCATCAGTCAAATTCACCGCAATCACACAACCAGTCACGTCATAATAGGGTTTCCATAATGTGCAGCTACTCAGGTTACCATAAACGAAACAGTTTTATTGATAAATGAAGCAACATCTTGATGATAAGCCAAAAGGCACCCTAAAATCTAGACTAACTAAACTAAGTGCCTCTTCAGTTCAGTTCTTTTGCACAGCTAGAAAAGAATTCATCAAATGCTTCACTTCCGATCTGGTGGAATAGTGAGGTCGGTTTCGAAAGGCTGTCAACACGAGTATACTAACGATGTAATTGCTGCAATCCCCCCATGACGTAAATTCACATTATACAGAGGATGTAAGCCTGGGTTCATTCGTGTTCATCTTTTCCGTCAATGACATGAACGAAAAGCCAATATCTGATTGAGTTTGTATCATGTGTGATAATCTGCAAAAAACTTCTTGTTTACATTTTTCAGCATGCCGTCAGAACCACATAATGATGAGTTTTTATGTAAAGAGAATGAAATTGGCCATCCGTATTGTTTATGGCATCCTCAGTGACTTTTGTTTATGGCATCCTCAGTGACATCCTCAGTGACTCAGAGATTTCTGTTTAATCATTGTATTATACACTTTTACATGTTATTGCATTTATTTCATAATGTGTATACTCAGCATGATTTTTTATTAGGTTTAGGAGTAGGCCACTTTGTGCTCCAGACTGTTGTTGCAAAAAGTTCTGCAGCAGTAAGTAGAATTCATATTTACAAATTTCAGATTGAGTTTGGTGATTTGATTTCACTTTTTTGTAAAATATATATTTCAGAGTAAAAAAAAAGAAAAAAGAAAATCGTGAAATTTTGTGCACATGATTTATGCTGCAATCTTGAGTTTACTTTAAATAGGCTATATTAGGTTTGCTTAACAGGACTTTAGAACTTTTTTATATTTTAATGCCACATACAGTTAGGTATGTGACTTAACAAATCTGCATTCAGAAACTTCAGATGCATTTCAAAATATATATTATTTTGTAAAAATCTTAAATGCTGTGTATTAATTTCAATAATATAATACAGTACAAAGTCCGTAATCCGGACGTCCATTATCCGGAATGATCTATAATCCGGACCTCAAAGTCACAAACTTTTTTTTGTATGCTTTACGCATGCGCGTTTAATGTATAACAGACGTATAAGCTCGCTAAAATTCTTTACTGATTTCTAAGGCATTAATTTAATGTGCAGACTGCCGCTGTTCCTTAATTTCTAATGGATCTGGCTTTATATTTTGCGACTGTTAGACGCTTTAAAAATTAAGCTTGCTTTTTCGATTTGTCAAAAGAATTTCTAATCTGAGCTGCCAAGGATCTAAAGGAAGCATATTCGATGGTCATCAAACAAAAAGTGGAGGTGCTGCAAAAATAGGATAAAGCATATCCGTCAAAATTAGCGAGGAGTATGACTTGGAAAGTCAACGTATGTGACATAAGCAAAAAGAAAGGAACTTTTTAATTTTGTGTGGATTCCGACACTCGACTTGCAATGAATAAAAGAAAAAGAGCTTGTCATGCTGAAAGTGACGATCATCACAAAGTGATGATGAATGGGGGGAAGCGTTGCAAGGGCATGCTGTAGGGTCCGAGGCTAAGGTCAAGCATGAACTTAAACACTGAGTGCACATATTCGACAGTTTGGTTAACCGAATTTAAAAATCGCCATAAGAAAATTAAAAATTTCTGGTGAAAAAGCTTCAGCTGGTACTGAAGCTGCTGAACAGTTTGCAGATGAATTCATTGAACTTTTTACTAAAAAGCTCTCAGATTTTATATTACGCCCAAATAGGCGTTTTTTCATTTACATACGCATAAACGTTTCAAGAGCATTTGGGCTAAAAATATTTAAAAACATCGTATCGTTAGAGTTTCTGATAGACATTCTCGCTTGCTAGAGATTAAAATGTTTTATTCTGTATGGTTTTGCTACTGCTTTATTTGAAATTGTTAAGTTTTTAATGAAAAATTTATTAAAATTTTACAAAATATGAAATAGACAATAAAATAAATTCTAACATAATTGCCAGTAAATTGTCTCTGGTTCTTCCTAGATTATAGTTAAATATATGTTGTATTAAAAATTTACTTCTTGAACTGAGATTTTAAATCTGTGTTTTCATAGATTTTGCTTTGTATAATACTTGGTAGTTATTTCATGGCATACTTTCCTTTTTTAATATTAAGTGCAATGTTAATGAATGCTCTAATTTTGTTTTTGCAGTGTCCTAATGCATTTGCTTCAAGCATCCTAAATATATCCATAAAGAGGCACCTTGCAACAGCTGCTGTTCCAGGAGCTAAAAAAGTATTTCAGCGAGACAAGCCTCATTGCAATATTGGAACAATTGGACATGTCGATCATGGCAAAACAACACTTACAGCTGCAATTACAAAAGGTTAGTCTGCAATTACAAAAACTGTAAATGGTATTTTGTGTTGAAACTTTGTTTTATTTAATTTGCATTTTATTAATTTATTACGAAAATTGAGTAACATTTTTCAGTGTAATGTTTTTTTTTTTTTTTTTTTTCGGTTACTATTTTTTGCATTAATTTCACTTGCTAAAGATGTTAAAGTAATAATCTTATCCTTTATATATTGTGATGATCCATAGCAATCTTACTGATGTAGCCAGAAAACTCATAAACCTTGAGTGCTTGCAATATTGAATTTGTAAATGAGAACTTAGTTGCATAATTTTTAGTTATTACGATTTTTAAATAAATTGAACATATATCTTTAAATTCAAAAGTAATCATTAAGTGATGTTTCAAATAGTACAGTAACGTTCAGAACTGAATAGAAATTGTACCCGAACGTAAGATTTCTTTTGGAATCAATCATTTAACAAGAGTATGACAAGGAAATTTTATTTGAAGTCTTTGAAACTTAATATAAAAAAAATTTATTTCAAAAGGCATCAGTGATATTTCAGTATACAGTCAAAGGTTTTTAATCCGGACTCGTCGGGACTTCGGCGATTCCGGATTCTTGGTTTTGCAGATTAGATCATCAGTTAAATCTGGTAAGATGGCATGCAGAAATTATAAAATTAAAAATATGAAACCGTACTATATGAAATAAAGAACAATTATGATCTCAAGGGTATCAAAATTTACAAAAAAAAAAAAAAAAAACTTATATTTATTTGACTTTATTAAAATTGATTTCAACGCGTATGCGTGAAGCATACATTACGCATAGGAAATTAGAAATTTGCAACCAAAAACTATTGATGTGATTCGTGATTTGATAATTACGAGGAATTGATTTAATATATCAAAGATGGGTACATGCAGATGAAAAAACTACTTTAGTAAGGAATTATAACCGAATAAAATAAAAAATCTCCCTGAAAAAAAGGATAGTGCGACCAGATCTGATGCAAAGCAAAGTAAAGTTGTAAAATTAATTTTAGCAAAGTAGCAAAGAAGCTTGTAAGGGTATGTCCTGGCAGACAAAAGTTTAAACTTAACCAATTTATTAACAATATATAAAAAATAAAAACACAAGGATAATTTAATCGATATCAGAAACTTAAAGAGTAAACATAATCATTATCAAAAAAAACACTTAATGATCCTCCATAACCCCAAGGTTTTTCTTTAAAGAAGTACACTATTAACCCGTAAATTTTTCCTGATCCAATACTGGCATTCAAGACGCGAAAAACAGAGCACTACACAGCGAAAGACCGGGTGGGTTAATGAAGTTTGCGCACGAGCAAGGCCAGCGCGGGGCAGAAGGCACTGGAAAATAAAAGGAAAGCCTTGAGAGCGTTAAACCGGCAAAAGCCGCGCACGGGAGTCCACGGAGAAACACAGCTTGGAACGCTCGCCGCGAACGCGAAAAACACTTGGGGGAGAGCCGCCCACTGCGCGCTCACATCGTAGCCGCTGGGGAGAATCCGGAAGCCTCTGCCGGACTGGAACCACGGCACTTAGCACTGGCGGGCACGCATCGCAATACGCTTCCAGGGGGGCTGGAAATGCACACACAAGACAATAAAACGAACCAGAAGGAATGAGCCAGAGCGACACGAGATACTCTACCTGACGTGGACATGACGTCATCGGGCAACCAATGAGCGACGGCCGACTCAGCTCCAGATGAGGGAACATCAGCTCATGTTTGCATCGTGATTAGGGTGGAACATCGTTCTTATAAACCTGGGCAGTGAAAAACGGGAAATAACTCTAACTTGAAAATAGACAAGCTTAGTAAGTTAAAATAGTCAAGGAGGAGAATGTTCAGAAAGGGTTGCATAGTCATATTTCCAACAAGATCAACTTCCAGTTCATTGCGTGCCGCGTAGTCCCCCCCCTCGGCAGCGTGAAATTGATAAACATATTTCGAAATGATTAGAGAATCAAAAGATATGCCTTTATCCATTTTTTGCAGCAATTCCACTTTTTGTTTGATGGACATCGAAACATGCTTTCGCTTTGTAGATGCTTTGGTAGCTCCAGAATCGGAAATTCTTTTTGACATAATCGAAAGTTCAAGCTTACTTTTATAAAATTGTTCTAACAGTCTGCAAAAAATAATAAGCCGGATCCTTAGCTTATACCGTCCGTTATACATTAAACGCGCATGCGTAAAGGTATTATGAGCAGAATGTTTGTAGCTTTGAGGTCCGGATTAGACTTTTGACTGTAAGTGCAGTGATACCTTGGTACATGTCCACTTTGAAATACATCCAACATTGTATACATTCTGTTTGGACATAATCATTTTTGTTTTGAATGTGGCTTGAGTTCAATGAGTTTTTACATCTGAGCACTATATTTGTTCACCTCTTCTAAGACTACAACTATCTATGAACATTAGTATGCCTGTCACTACTATTCAGTACACAACCCACACTATAACTCTAAATTTTTAAGTGTTTTTTGGTATTAACACAAACACTTTGGAGCAATTTAGAAATTTTGTACAGGTGAAAAGGTCAAAATTACATATTGGTTACAAGCTGGCGATTTTTTGTGACATGTAAAAAAAAAAAAAAACTTTTTAAAACTATCGTAAATATTATCAACATATCAAAAGAAAATACACCTTTAAAATTTTTAATTATTAAATATGGATTATATGATACATTAAAAAAACGAAACGCTCAAATTTTTTTGTGAAATCCAGCTCTAATTTTTTAGCAGTGTTCTGTTTCCTATGTGTGCAGTGATTAGTTTTCCAAGTATCTATACATTGTAGCATTTGCAGCAAACCACAAGAGAAAACTTTAATTATATTACAGTAATTAGATTTTTAGGAAAATGAACACGACGCCCACGTCGGGTAACTACTTGTTTTGGAAACATTTTTGAGTCTTTGCAGACTTCCTGTGAAAACTGAGGAATTACAGGTGAATTAATACATTCAGACAACATACATGCTGGTTTTAAATGATCGATTGTAACTGTAATCTTTTTGTTATTTACCTCAATAATAAAATTTTTATCCATTCATTTAACCACGGTATGAGGACCAGTGTAAGATGGAGTTAGAGGTGGTTTAACAGAATCTATACGCAGAAATACATGAGAACAGGTTTGAAGTGCTGGAATGTACATAAATTGGTGTTTGAATATGCCTAGAGGTTGGAATAGGTCTGACTAAATGCATGACTGATCGAACTTGTGACACATAAGATTCAGTAGGCGATACAATATTTGTAACATTCAGCATATCTGACGGTAATCTAAGTGTTAGTACCGTAGACAAGTTCAGCACAAGTAGCATTTAATTTCTTAATGGCAGATCTAATACCCCAACAGAACAGTAGGCAGAATTTCAGTCCATTTTGGGTTGTTATGAGCCATTGTTGAACTTTTAAGTTGCCTATGAAATCTCTCAATCAGTCCATTGTACTGAGGATGATAAGCAGTAGTTCTAATGCGATGTGTACCCAAAATTTTCCATTAAATCCTTAAATACCGTGAGAATCAAAATTTCGGCCTTGATCAGTTGTTATTGATACCGGGCAGCCAAATTCTTGCTATCCAGTTATGCACTAACACTTTGCAAGTCGTCTGAGCTGACATGTCGACAGTAGGTATGACTTCTGGCCATTTGGTAAACCTGTCAATAATTGTCATGCAATAACGGTTACCTTCAGACGATGGAAGAGGACCTATTAAATCAATATGGATATGTGCTAATCTTACATCAAGCAAGGAAAAGGTACCCAGTGGTGATTTCGTATGCCTATGAATTTTAGAACGTTGGCACTGTAGACATGATTGAACTGCAGTTTTAATAAATTTCTTCATATTAGGCCAAAAATAGCACTTGGTAATTAATTTTGTTGAAGTTGAAATACCAGCATGAGAAAGACAGTGAATCTTCTGAAATATTTTAAAGCGAAAAGATTCAGGTATGAACGGTCGAGGTATACCTGTGTCCATATTACAGTAAAGAGTAACATCTTCTAAACTCAAGTTTAAAAACTGGTGAAGATTGAGATAAGGAATTTTGAATTTCAGAGTCCTGAATTTGTGCTTCGGATAACTTTTTATAATCAATGTGTTGATTATCAGATACTGCATCGCATCTATTTCTACCTTATATAAGGCATCAGCAATGATATTGTCACGACCTTTGATGTATCGTATGTCAGTGGAACATTGGCCAATAAAATCAAGATGACGAAATTGTTCGTGGAGAACACATTTCGGGCTTCTGCTTAAAAGCATATCTTAAGGGCTTTTCGGTCAGTGTAGATTGTAAAGGCCCTGCCTTTCATGCATATGCCGAAACTTCCTAATAGACAAATAATTGCCAATACTTTCTCGATCATATGTTGATCATTTCCTTTGACTTTTGCTTGAGTTTAACGGATAGCAAACACAACAGGTTCCCAAATTTGAATTATGCAAGTTGCATTAAATGAGCTACCAACCGCAATGTCCGATGCATCAGTACAAAGTTTCAAGGTTCGCAACAGGAACTTGGTAAGTGTCTGAGAAGGGCTGCCTCAAGCAATTTGCCTTTTTTGCATTTTTGAATGCTTTCTTCGGCTTTCGTCGTTCCCATTCAAGAGGGATATTCTTTTGTTTTTGCTTGGTTGTGAAGGTTTTCCTTTTATTAATGCGGCCTTCTAAGTAACCTATTTAAGGGAGCTAAAACATGTGAAGCTCTTGGGAACAAAACATCTGTAAAAATTAAATATGCCAAGAAATTTCCTTAACTTGAGTTAATGTGTTTGGTTTTAGAAATTTTTGAATAGCTTCTACCACTCTCGGGTAAAAGGTTTTTAAACCCTGTTCAGATACATGAAAACCCCAAAAATTCCAAAAGAAGTTAAACCAAAATTGCATTTAGATACATTAAGTCTTAACCCATAATTACTTAATCTTTCAAAAAGGGCTTTTAGGTGTATCAAATGCTCATTTTCCGTCTTTTGACGCTTATCAATATATCGTCGACAAAAGCAAATACTCCTGGCAGCTCGCGAGTTACTTCCATCAATAAAGCGTTGAAAGGTTGCAGCTGCATTGCATAACCCAAATTGCATTCTTGTGCTCTCAAAAAGTCCAATAGGAGTGCAATAGCCCCATTTTATGGTTATCAGAGGGATTAATTGGAATTTGGTGATATGCTTTAACCAAATCTAATCGAGAAAATACCTTGGTTCCATGTAACTCCGCTGCAAAATCGCAAATATTGGGAATAGGATACTTATCCTTCACTGTCTGAGCGTTTAACCTCCGAAAATCTCCCACAGGTCTCAATTCATTTGTGCCTTTTTTTTGACACCATGGGAAGAAGAGAGGAGTAATTACTTTTGGAGGGTCGCATGTGACCTAAATTGATCATTTCCTGAATTTCATGCTTAGCAATTTTTAATCTATCTGGAGCTAATCTCTTTGGCTTACATGAAACAGGAGGACCAATGGTTTCAATGAAATGAATAGTATTATGCTTAACAGTCTCATTGAGATCAGGAAGCTTTGACAGTAAAGGATAGTTAGACAGTAATTTATCATAAATACAATTTGAAATAATTGTTTTAACAGAATATAAATGTGTGTTAATTACACTGCAGTTAATTTTAAAATGTGTTTTTAAATCAACAAGTTTTTTGTTCCTTAAATCAGGTAATAAATCAAAATAATGCAAGAAATCAGATCCAATAATATTTGTTGACACTTTACACACATAAAAAGTAAAATTAAAATTACGAAGAAGTCTAAGGTCAATACTTAACGCTTTTTGTCCATAAACTGGAATAGGGGTACCATTTGCTGCAGAAAACGTCATTATAGGTGTTTGACGTGCTTCCTGTCTGGTTGCTGAAAGAAGACTGACGTCTGAGCCAGTGTCGCACAAAAATATTCTATTCGATTTCCTGTCTCTAATGAAAAGGCGACGAGACTCAGAGGGTAAAGTGCATGTCACCACTACACTTGGTACATTTCCCTGGAATGTACATGGTGGAACACACTTTTTAGCTTTATCACTAAATTTATGATGATACCAACAATAGGAACAGTTCAAAGCAGCTTTAGCTGAAGGGCTTCGTTTCCTGTTATAGTGATTTTTTGTAACACTGAGTGATCATCGTAGAGACAAAACCTCGCTACGCAATTTGTACACTTCTTCCAGCAGGGAATCCAATTTAGAATTCTCAGAGGCATTGAGAGGTACACGAGAAGAAACTTCACTTACCTGAGCGGGTGTAACTTCCAATATTCTATCCGCTATACTGGCAGCTTTCGATGAATCGAGCTGCTCAACTGACGCTAGAATAGACTGAACATTTGGCGGCATCTGGTGCATGAATAATTCCAGTAACAAAGAGTCAGGCACGTTGTACTTTTCAGCCCGCCTAGTCATTACCCATAGAAGTTCTGATGGCTTTCTATCTCCAAGTTGCTCGCCGGTGAGTAATTTCCGTATTTCACTCATACTGCTTTCGCCACAGCATTCCGTAATAGCAGCTTTGAGGTCTTCATAAGAAGCATCTGTACGTTCCCGGAGAATGATATCTCTAACCAACGCAGCAATTTCCGGTGGCAAATGAGCGACGCAGTAGTTAAATTTTGTCTTTGAATCTGTAATAGGCTTCGGTACAGCTAAAGCAAAAGTTGCTTCACACATAGCAAACCCACAATGCCGGGTCAATCAGATTGTAAATTGGAATCTTGACGGCTGCAGTTTCCTCCATGTCAGCGGCTGAAGGGAAAAAAACACAAAAGTTCTGGAACCAAACTCTTGAATGAACAACCAGTATAAGCTTCGTGCGAGTAGGCGGATCGCCATTTTATGGTTGTAGACGCCGGGTTACCATATTATGGTGGCATGGTGGTCATGTACTTGGTGTATATTCTTGAATTGACATGACTCCTTTTCTTTAAACATAACTTTTATTCACACACACCATAACTTTAAACACAACTGAAATAACAGAACGAATAACAAAATCTACTAAACTAAAATTCAAACATCCCTATGCTGCAGCTAAGGGCGAAGTGAGCGAGTTCACTGCTGCGCTAGCAGTTTTTACATAAATTACATGACGTGGATTGGCTGCGCACGTAGTCGAACATTAGATTGCCACAAAACTTATGCTGAAAAATATATACGGTCAAAAGTCGTTAATTCGGACACCCATAATCCGGAATGATCTATAATCCGGACCTCAAAGCTACAAACTTTCTGCGTGACGCATTCGCGTAAGACCTTTATGCGCAAAATACATTTACGAATGCGCGTTTAATCTATAACAGACAGTATAAGCTAAGCTAAAATTATCTAATTCAGTTAATATTGCAGATTGCTTTGTTCCTTAATATTCGAACTGGATCCGGCTTATTATTTTTTGCAGACTGTTAGAGCAATTTTATAAAAGTAAGCTTGAACTTTCGATTATGTCAAATGGAATTTCTGATATATATTTACTAATATAATATGCAAAGGATCTACAAAGGGAAAGTATGTTTCGAAGTCCATTAAACAAAAAGTGGAATTGCTACAAAAAATGGATAAAGGCATATCCTTTGTTTATCTAACCATTTCGAAATCTTTTTTATCAATTTCACGCTGCTCTGCGTGTATGTGGGGGAAACGTTGCGGTGTGCAATGAACTGGAAGTTGGAACTGGACGGTATAAGCTAAAATTATCTATTTCAGTTAATGTTGACAATTGCGTTGTTCCTTAATCTTCGAATTGGCTTATTATTTTTTGCAGACTGTAAGAGCAATTTTATAAAAGTAAACTTGAACTTTCGATTATGTCAAATAGAATTTCCGATGCTGGAGCTCCCAAAGGATCTACAAAACGAAAGTATGTTTCGATGTCCATCAGACAAAAAGTGGAATTGCCGCAAAAAATGGATAAAGACATGAAGAAGGTGACAGAGAGGTTAGTGAAAACGAAAAAATTTCGATTGACAAGTTAGCCGGTATTCTCGGCACTGCAATTACGGGACTTGAACGGCGGAACTTTGTAACTGAACAAGAAATTATGTCTGTTTATTGAATTAAAGAGAAAGTATTATCACATAAAACGAAGCAACTTTGTAACAACTTACTTTGTGTATGTATTTTATTCGGTGTTATTTAAGTACTTTTCTTTTAATGATTGTTTTCTCTTAATAGTGCTTGCTGAAAAGAAATTAGCTAAATTAAAAAAGTATGAAGATATTGACAATGCTCCAGAAGAACGTGCTCGTGGCATTACGATTAATGTAGCTCACATTGAATATACAACAGATAAAAGGCATTATGGGCACACTGATTGCCCTGGCCATGCTGATTATATAAAGGTAAGACAGATTATTTTTCAGTTTTATTTTGACCTTTATGCCCTTTAAATAATCCTTCAAAACATGTTTTCTAAATATAAAATTTCAGAAATTTTTATTAATAGTTATAAATACTGGAAAACAATAGAAATGCATCTGTTGTTTTCTTGCTTTTATCACATTTTGTTTTAATAAGCTTACTAAAAATTTCACAGTATTGTGTTGAACTTTGCCCATTTCTGAGTCATGTAATGCACTCTGTGACATTTCAGAAACATATTGTAATAGGATTTTAATAAAACTAAATATATTCATTACTAATCCCCCCCCCAAAAAGGTCTAGTACTTGAGTGGAAAATTATTTTTTGATGTTTTGAATGTAAAGAATGTGACAAATCCCCAAGCATTACACCCTTTGTAAAATGAGTAAATAACAAGAACTACGCTTACCAATATATTTAACATTGACCATTTTCACCAGACAATAACTATTCCCAAACAGTGTGATATCTTTCAAATTTCTTGATAAGCCAATTTAATTTTTGTAATGAATAGTTTAAGTTAACTGCTATTTATCTTTTTCTGAATAAGTTTTAAAAGGTTATTAAAATTTGGGCTCAGACCAGCTCCCTTTTGGGCCTGAGTTATTGAAGTAAATCCCCTTTTCATCACAAGTGACGATCTGGTCCAGAATTTTGTCCTTGCGTTGATATTCTAGCAGATTATTGCAGGCCCTCGCCTAACGTCTAGCTCCTTAGCAAGCTCTCAAGTAGTTGCATACTGATCTTCTTCCACAATTTCTCGCAGGCAGGCCTCATCAATATCAGTTGGCCAGCCAGAACGCTCTGCTTCTTGAATGTCTTTGTCCTTGTTTTTGAACTTCTGGTGCCAAACCTTCACACTCATATAATACAACATTAGTACCTAAAGCTGTATTCATAATTTGGTGGCATTCTGTAGTTGATTTTTTGCAATGGAACTGGAAGTAAGTGATAGTTCTAATCTGGTAGCATGATAGTTCCATTTCAGACACCTTATACTTAATGATAATGATATTTTTTTGAAAATTTCACAACACAATGTCCTAAAACAAGTCTCTTGCTTTCAAATGCCAAAAATCATTTAACAAAACACGATTAAGCACATCAACACGAACTGTTTGCTCAAACGATATTTGCGATGGTGGGAAACATTTATTAAAACTCAATAGTATGTTTCTTCTGGGAGAAAAAAGAAATTGCAAGTCTTGTTGACAACTTCCAGTACTAGGGAATTGTAAAATTAAATAAAAGAGAAATTGATTGTATATTGAAGTCAAATATTTCGAACAGAAAGAACTTCATCATTATTTGATGCCTGAAAGCTTTATTAAAATATTTTAGCACAGTTCTGTTATTTTGTAACTAATCTTCTTTTACCTTTCTATTCTGGTTTTCTGTAATTTGTGTATTTATTGAATTATTTTAATAATTGATTGCATATTTCCTTAAATATAATATGTAATTTTTTAAAATTCATGTTTTTAGAATATGATCACTGGAACATCCCAAATGGATGGTGCAATTTTAGTTGTTGCTGCAACTGATGGAGCTATGCCTCAAACTCGGGAACATTTAGTCCTTGCAAAACAGGTTTACTTTCTGTTTTCATTTTATTCTGTGCGGTAAAAAGTAAAACACATTAAAATTTGTATTTGATACAAGCTTAGTAATTTGCCCTTTCGTCTGTGGTTTCAGAATGTGAGAAAATTGGACTAAAGTATTTGTATGTTGTGTATGTGTTTTTAATAATTAGCAAATTTTAATTCTTATTAAATTTTGAAAAGCAAAGCAATCTGGCTTCAGCCAAATAGTCATTTGGCTTTGCGTATGTCAAAAGTAAATTTTAATTAAATTTTCAGAAGTAAAGCCTATTTCAAACAGAGTTGTTGTTTGATTGCTTTGTTTTTTAAGACTTTATCGAACATTTTAAAACTAAATTTTGAAACCGTTACATACCATCAAAAATTAGATTATTTTCTTTAAATCTGAATTTCTTTTGCTGTATTGTTAATTTATTTTTTTAAACAAACACAGAGCCAGTTATCTTTATCTTAATATTTACACCATGCAATAATGCTCAATCAAACAATACGAAATTCACATTTCATGTGCAGGAATGTTACCAATGCTAATATTTCTCTTCAAAACCTTACAAATGCTAAAATACAAAATCTCACGAGAAAAATGTTATTGAAAGAAAAATGTCAGACAATATGTTGTAAGTTATGATTTTTGGGATTATTCATCATAATTTAGGGATGTAATTTTTTCCAGGATATATTTTAAATACATTGCAAAATTATTTCAAATTAATAGTTCTTTCAAAAACCTCCTTAAAAGTAATTTCAGGTAATTTTTATTATCTTTATTAATATTAATAATAGTTTTAACTTAAACTTTCAACCACATTATTCTTTTCTTTTTAATTTTCTAATGTTTATTTTCAAATATGCCATTACTTAAAATAAAAATTTTAATCGCAGCACATTACTTCTTTTATTTCCTACCACTGAGCATTAATATTAACATTTAACTGAATAAAATTTAATCCGAGAGATGTAAGGCTAATCAAGTGGATGGAGAAAACTTGCTAGGATGAGATAGTCAGCACCAAAAAAGGAGCGTAGTATAAATATTTTAAGATGCTGCTGCTTGATGTGTTTGTTAAAGCTGAATGCTAAATTATTGACACAGTCTGAAGAGAGATATCATTGATCATTAATAAACAGCATGGCACTTAAATAAATAACTAGTGTATTTATGTATATTTGTGATATATTTACGGGAAGTTTTCTGTTTGAATAACTGCTTAACTGATTAGAAATTCATTTCTTTTTCTCATCAATTCATTTCTCTTTTAATTTGGTATCAAACTTAAAATATATACATGGCTTTTTATTTAGATTGGAATTGAACACATTGTTGTATTTATCAATAAAACTGACAGTGCAGACCAAGAAATGATAGAATTAGTAGAAATGGAACTTCGAGAACTTATGACAGAAATTGGTTACAATGGTGATGATATTCCTTTTGTTCATGGTTCTGCTCTATATGCTTTAGAGGTAAAATATTGGGTTTTTGAACTTTTTTTTTTTTTTTTTTTTTTTTTTTAAGATTGTATTTGTAAGGAAAAAATTCTTAAATATATTGTCTGTCTAGGGAAAAGATCCTGAAAAAGGAGCAAATTCAATTTTAAAATTATTAGACACGATAGATGAGCACATACCAACACCTGTACGTGATTTAGATAAACCCTTCCTATTACCTATTGAACATGTCCATACCATAACAGGTAAATTTTCTTTTTCATCTTTTCATTGATTGAAACATAGATTTATATTAAAATAAGATTTGTTGTGTATATTGACTTTTTTAACTTTCTGTATTAATGCTTCATGTATTTATTATCTATATCATGTGTTGCATCCAGAGCAGTGATTCTCACCCGGTGGTACACTAAAAAACAAAGTGTTTTTAACTATTACATTCAAAAATTAAATACTCCACCATCCTGTTTAAGTTTTTTCTCTAACATTCGTAAATTTATTGAGCCTTTGTTCAAGCTCAATAGCTACTAATGGACTTAAGCAAAATAAACCGTTTTTATTTTCACAAATATTCTTTTAGCCATAGACACAACAAAATTTGTCATAAATGATGCTTTTAAAAGGAGTAACAGAAATAGATGTATTTAATAGGAAATGAAATTAAGTTCTATAAAAAGGTAATAGTTTCTCATTAATTTTTTTAGAGTGGATCGATTTACAGTACACTCCCGATTATCCACTCAATTGGGTGGCGCGGCCACCGCGGATAATTCGAAAAAAGCTAAAAACGGGTATAGCAAAAGAGAAACAGTCATTCCAACTTTGAAAAATCATTTTATGTACAATAAAACATAAAATAAACAGCAGGAAATGTTTAACTAACGCTTAATATTTTAGTATATCACTCAAAACTAACCTAAAATGCATTTTGTTAATGAAAACAGAAAAGTGCTTTGTACTTATGAGAGGTGTCAAGGATACACAGAAAAATTAATACATATGTACTGTTTTAATACTGTAATGTATTATGTAATTATAAAAGCATAACTGTAAAACTACACCTTTTTGAAGCAATCAGTCATTTGTGTTTGCTTCTTGCTTTGGAAGCATTTTCTCTTGATCCGAGATTGCATTTTTTGTAGCAAATGTTTCTCGGCCAACTCCGTGTCGTCTTGTTCTTCCAAATAGCTCAGCAGTCCTTCGATTTGTAGCAAAGCCGCTTCATGAGTCTTGCATTCTCGTTCTGCTTTGTCAGTTCATATTCGTGTTTATTATAATTGTTATGCTTATATTATGAGCATATGTATGAATGTTTATAATAACATAGTTGCAGTAACTGCTGAAGTATAAGTAAACTTCCAAAAATGGTTGTGTTTTAACACAGATTAGCTTTCTAATTAATAATATTCGGAATGGCTTAAATAAAGGGAAAGTAATCGAATAGTCAAAATAATTTCATTTTTTTGGCCAATACATTATACAGTACGAAGGCTGGGAGGTTCTCCCCTTTCTCCGCAAAATCTCGAATGTTGAAACTGTTACAGTTCGCTGCAAAACAAGCAACGGACTTTTTTTTTTTTTTTTTTTTTTTTTTTTTTTTTGGTCACTTTCCAAACTGGATTGAATAGGACTAAAAGTTCTGTGGTCTACCAACCCAAGCGAGGAATGATTCTATTCTGGAAATTTAATGCAGTCTGTTGAAAATTAGAATGAAAAACACCCCAGATATTTTGTAGAGATAATTAATTTTGATGTTTGTCCGAGATTTGTTTATGAACACTTAAAAAAGTTTTACTGTGCTTGCTAAGCAGAATATTTTTCTGTTCCGTTGGTTTGTTTTTATATGATGCACATATCAAAATGTCAAAAGCATTTATTTAGCGGAAAAATCTAAAGAACGGCTACAGTCTATCCCCCACCTCCGCTCCTCTTTTTCAAGTTACGCTCAACTGTCCGAATATTCGCCAATTTTCAAGTATGCGGGTAGTTAAGCTTTTACTGTTAAAGGATGACTGCATGAATCAAATTTCTGTCTTCTGATTTCAGAAATGTTCCTCTTTTTTACTTAAATTACTTTGCTTGCAATATCTGTTATGGGAAAACTGATATATGATGAAAATTTAGAAAATGTTCAGAATTTAGATTTAAATTAGTTAAATATCATTATGAGTGGAAAAATAAATTGTATTTATTATTAAGTTCCAAGCGAATAGAATAAATATGCCTTATTATTATTTATTTCCTCTATTTTGAACTGAAATTTCATCATTAAATTTATCATTTTTTTTTATATTTCTATTAAGAATTTGAAAAATAATCATTGTAAAATGTAGTAGTGGGATTAAAGTTTTTCAGTTTTTGTTTAGATGGTACGCATTAGTCAAAAGGTTGAGAACCGCTGATCCAGAGTATTTACATTGTTGCGTGCATATGGGTTCGTAAGATTGAATGCACAAGTCTGATAAAATATAAAATTTATTCTTATCACAATAATATATAACAAAGAATAAATAACAAAAATGTACGATTTTTCCTCAAAGACATTCATATAATATCACAATATCACACGATATAATTAATAGCTATATTTTAAACTCTTAAAACGTTAAATAGATCCAAAGTGCAGAGAAAGCTAATCTGATCAAAATTACATCAGCTAAGTAAACGACAACTGCTCACTAAAACAAATCAACTGAGCTGTTTCTCTTCAGCTTTTTAAAGCTTTTTAATCAGTCATGAGAAGCTTCTGGTAATTTCTCTTTTCGTCTCGAGATTTCTGGACAGCAGAAGAGTAGAATTATGAGATATCTGTTAAATATTAAATGTGCATGCTCCTATATTTTTACTTGGCTGGCATAGCTTTCTCTTAAAATAAGTCTCATGCTGCATTGCACGAAGGTATAAAACAATTTTAATTATAATTCTACTAAAAATAGCAAATTAAATACAAAATACATAAAACTTTGTATGTTATTCATTATTGGTTATAACGTTTTAAATGTTAAGAAACTCTTTATGGTCTTTGGTATATGTGTGGGGTCCAAGTACAAAAAAAAATCCATATACACTCCTGTTATATTCAGCCTGAGCCTGTGAAGCTCCTAACTTATTATGTTAGCCATGCCTGTAGTAGAGGGGTGTGCATGATTGAATAAAACTGATTGTAGAGCCCAGTAGTTGGGAGAAAAAAAAAAAGAAAAAAAAAAAAAATTTAAAATTTAATTCTGCAACTAGAAGAAAATGACTATTCAAGTAATGCCAAAGTTTCATGTATTTACTTCGCAGTTTATATTAGAAATAAATTTATATATAATATAAAAAATTAAGAGTTGATTGTGAATATATCAGCTGGAATATATGGTACAATGTGTGGTATAGTCGGAATTGTAAATTTTTTACTTTCTCAAATCCAGGAGTTCCAGATTTGAGAAACTGCATGTACACATAGTTATCATTATGTATAGTATGTAATGTGTCATTGTATCAACAGTTATTGTTTCATTGGTGCAGAAACTGCAAAAAGTATTAGGAGTGCTGTAATCATTTAATCCATTAAAAAAGATTAAATTTATTTTGAAAAGAAGCATGTATAGAATGGGTTGATTATATGCCAAAAATGCTATCATTAAAGAACTCTGTCTTCATCAAATTTAATTATATCTAGCCTGTTCTGCAATGTAAATTAAATGCTTTCATTGGTTTGATGAAATTAGCAGATAGTTTGCCAAATGTCATTTTAGAAGATGTAAGAACATTTACTCAAAGAATTCAGAAACTATCAAATAGATGATCACTTTTCTGTTACACAAACAAACAAAAACATTTGATGTTGTAAACTTTCGGCCTGAAGTATTGGGGCTAAAAGAAGGTAAAAAACAGCACTACCTAGTATTCCCAAACTTAATTAAATTTGTGTAAGCTTCCTTTCTTGAACCTACTGTTCAATGTGTATGTAATTTAATGGGTAATATTATACTAGAGTATAGAAAACCCTTAAACAGTAATTGCTTAGATGCTGTAAAGACTGAAATATTATTTTTTCTAAGCAAAAATTTTGGTTTAGAAAATTCCTCTTAGGGTTCTATTCACAAATCTGAGAATTTATTGAAAGCAGGACAGCTTGCCAAAATTCTTTATATTCCAGTAATCTATTAGTGATTGCTGAAATGGTTGAAATTATTAATGTATGGTGAAACTGGAAAAGAACATGCAAAAAATTTGATAATTGTAATTAAACCCTAATATGATTTTTTTGAAGTGGAGTACTGTTCAGTTCAGATGTGACAATATTAACCAGTTTTAGATGCATCAGTTAAGTTTTACACTTTGTTGTGAGGTAATCCCCCCCCCCCTTTTTTTTTTTTTTTTTTTTTTTTTCATATCAGATGTGAATCAAATGTAATCAGACGTGTTTTTTTGATCTCTTGAAGTCAAAGTGGGGTTTGACTGTACAATAATTGACTGCTAAATTTGTTGTTCTTGTCTGTTGAGTGTTGTAATCATTATTGTTTCAGCAATGTGCAGTCTGTCCATATAAATTCAGCTCTCTAATATTAAATATTGAGTTGCAACTTTTTTAAAAAAATAGAAAGCTGATGATTTAAAAAAATAGACATTACCATTACATACACATGAAAAAATAGAATGTGATGACAAATTTTATGAGATTTAATTCATTATTCTTGTATGTGAGTTTAATCTTTGAAAAGTCATAAAGCTGAAATAAAGTGGTAAATTTAATTAAATAAATTGCCAGGTGTTTTTAAGCTGCTGAAGTAAGTGCAAGGAATATTTATACTTTTTTTTTTTTTTTTTTTTTTTTTTTTTTAGGCCGAGGTACAGTTGTAACTGGTCGTCTTGAACGGGGTGTAATAAAAAAGGGAATGAAGTGTGATATAGTTGGATATAAAAAGCATTTGGAAGCTGTAATAACAGGTATTTATGTTTATATTTTATAATAATCTAATATTAATGGGTATTAATATAGTACTTCATAATTTTCTAATTTTCATAAAAATTTCAAGTTATACTCAATACATGTTTATATAGTTCTTATGTTACATTGTATTAAACCTTTTTAGATTGCTTTGGGAAGACTTATTGGATTCACAGGAAAATGCATTCTTTTTCCCAGCATTGTTTTTATATCTGAGAAGTTACTTTGTGCTTGTTGGCTAGACACAAAAACACCTAAACTTTTTGTCTTTTTCTAGGGTGTATGCACGCTGTGTTATAGAGTACTGTTATTGCCATATCCACTTTTCTTATTCCTAAGACTATTGCACTAATAAAAGCTGTAAGTGTTTAAGATCTAAACCATAGCCATTCGCTGAAATGTTACTGTGTATGTACTTGATATGTGCTGTAATCTGCTGCTCTCCCATGAATACTAAATTTTCTTCCTTTATTATTATTATTATTATTAAACATGTACAGGAGTTGGACAAAAATATCTAAACACCTTAAAAAAAACATGTTTCTTTGCTTAATATGGTGTAGGAAACCCGTTGGCATCCAAAACAGCTTGCAGTCTTCTCGGAATGTATAAATACAGTTCCTGTATGTTTGCCAAGGGAATATTATACCATTCTTCCTGTAAAACGGTGGCAAGTTCAGATAACGATGTTGGCGGTGGATAACGAGAACGCACTTTCCGTTCCAATGTAGACCACAAAGGTTCGATAATATTCAAGTCTGGTGACTGTGGTGGCCAGGGGAGATGGGGCAACTCATCCTTGTGCTCAGAAAACCAGTCCTGGACAATGTGAGCTGTGTGAACAGGGGCTTTGTTGTCTTGGAAGACACCATCACCATCGGGGAACAAAGTTTGTACCATGGGATGAACTTGATCCGCCAAAATGTTCACATAAGTCTTGGCAGTCATGTGCCCTGACACAGTTATCATGGGGCTAGCAGAGAACCATGATATGGCTGCCCAAACCATAACAGAACCCCCGCCATGTTTCACTCTTGGCAACAAGCAGTCTGTATTATAGGCTTGAGATGGCGTTCTCCAGACGTAAACTCGGCCAGAAGTGGGAAACAATGTGAAAGAAGACTTGTCAGACCATATTACTCGCTTCCACTGCTCTATAGTCCAGGCTTTATGACTTAAACACCACCTTTTCCTGTTACGGGCATTAGCATCACTGATGAGTGGCTTCTCAATTGCAGCACGGCCAGCAATTCCCTGTTTATGAAGCTCCCTTCTAATTGTTTTGGTACTCACAGGGTTCGGTAACACAACATTCATTTCAGCAGTAACTTTTGCAGCTGTGGTCTTCTTATTTTTCGTCACAATTGCCCTTAATGATCGTCTGTCACGATCACTCAGGACACACTTTCGTCTGCGCTGTGATTTAGCAGATGATGTTTTCCCGCTTTTCAAATATGCGGAATAAATCTTCGATACAGTACCTCTTGAAACACTAAACACCTCGGCTACCTTGCTTAGGGAAGCACTTACCATACGTGCTCCAACAATTTGCCCACGTTCGAAGGTCTGTTAACTCTGACATAATGCAATGACAACCTTACATAACAGTACTCCGGCAACAACTGAACTGTTTAGCACATTTACGAAGTTGTATAGGTGGCGTCAGTAGTCAAAAACGCCAGTGCCACCTAAATATTTCATTAAAATCAATCTTTCTTTTCAAACATGCATTTCACAAAGTGTTTCCATATTTTTGTCCATCCACTGTATCTGCAAGAGGAGAAATGCACTTTTACTGCAGCAAGACATTTGATGTTTCCATGCTAACGTACTAAAAAAATCAATTCTGTCTCAGTTTATGCTGTTTCATGGCAAGATAAATTGAAAACATTCAGTTATTATAGCATAAGCCTTATCTCAGTTTGTGGCATAATGACATCTTTACATGATAGCAAAATTCTATTATGCCATTCCTGTAGCATTTTGCAGTGTGAGTATAATAGGTTTTGCAATTTTATTGGTGAAATTTCTGTATTTAGTATTACGAGCTATAGCTGAGAAAAAATTATTTCCCTGTAGTAATTAAATTTATTTATATTTGAAATTTTTTGCATGTAAAATTTTAAAAAATATACTATTATTATCATGCTCTTAGAGTTTAAGCATGTGAATTCTCGGCACTCATGAAATGTATTGTATTGAATTGTAGGCATTGAAATGTTTAAACAAACATTAGAAGAGGCCCAAGCTGGAGACCAATTAGGGGCATTGATAAGAGGAGTGAAAAGAGATGAAGTTCGTCGTGGCATGATGTTGGGCCAACCAGGTACTGTTAAAGCTCATGACTTCTGCGAGGCACAAGTAAGAATTTTTTCTCTGTAATATTTTAATGTGATAGCCTTTTTTTTATTATTATTATTATTTTGAGACTTTTATATTGTTATTAACTGTCACTAACCTATTCTTCCAGTTGTTGTTCTCACTCTCAGCCTTTAAGCTGATAAAGAATTTATTTGTGAGAAAACTGACAGGAATTTAATGAAAGCAAACAAATGAGGAATTTTTCCCTCTTGCCTTTTGAGGGATGTCTTCCCCCCCCTCCAACAATATAATTTTATTCTTGTAAAACATATATGTAGTCTAGGGTTAAACACAAATGTGCATATAAAAATCAATTACCTTCTAAAAAATGTGTTTTTTATGAAATTTGTGCAGTATAGAGCACTGCAATTGTCATGTAAATGTTAAAATCACAGGACAGTTAACAAATTTTATTATGCATATTTTTAATGACATTTATACCAGATCGCAAGTTACAAGCAAAAGGCGGTACACCAGAAAGTCACCGTTGGTTGTACAGGTATAGTCCCAACGCACAAACTGAACAATAATTTCTGTCCAAATTTTTAGGGAGAACACCACAAGGGGTGGTCCAAGGGTCTCCTACCCTTCTGTTCCTACCTCCAACCTTTTGAGAGGATTTTCAACTGGCCAAGTATTTTGAGTGCCCCCTTACCACACAGACACTATTCTTCTTACAGATGTCCAAGGCTTCTCCAGGATTCAGGCCTGGACGCCTGCCTGTTCAACGCCACAAGAGTCTTCTTCAGTTTGCTGGCCACCAGATGTCTCTGATGGCTAAAACCAGCTTCAGTCAACACTACTTATTCTGCGAGTATGAAACTGGTTGAAAACGCAAGGAAAATGGTTGCCTCATCGTCAATTAGGCATGGGCTGTAGAAGTTGATCACAGCTCTGTATATGTTTTTGCAGTTAATTTTTTTTTTTTTTTTTTTTTTTTTTTTTTTTTTTAATATTTAAACGAAGAATATAGTGCAGATCTCTAAATCGACATCAAATTTATCAAAAACATGAGAATATGCATTTGCTTGCATATGCTGAGCTGAGTGAGTATTTGGAATGCTGAGCTGAGTGAGTATTTGGAACTCAGAAGATAGGAATGTACTGGAAAGGAAATACAGTCAAAAGTCGTTAATTTGGACACCCATAATCTGGAATGATCTATAATCCGAACCAAAAATCAAACTTTCTGCGCATGCGTCTAGTTGACGCATGCGCGTAAGACCTTTACGTCTGCGAATATGCTTGTGCGCATGCGCAAAATACGTTTACGAGTGCGCGTTTAATGTATAACGGACGGTATAAGCTAAGCTAAAGTTATCTAATTATCTATTTCAGTTAATGTTGCAGATTGCGTTGTTCCTTAATCTTCGAATTGGATCCGGCTTATTATTTTTTTCAGACTGTTAGAGCAATTTTATAAAAGTAAGCTTGAACTTTCGATTATGTCAAATAGAATTTCTGATATATATTTATTAATTCATAAAGGATCTACAAAGCGAAAGTATATTTCGAAGTTCATTAAACAAAAAGTGGAATTGCTGCAAAAAACGGATAAAGGCATATCCTTTGTTAATCTTTAACGCCGCGGCGCGCAATGAATTGGAAGTTAATCCGTCAGCACTATCCTTATCTTAGGGATAGTGCTTAAAATAATGAATCTCTTTAAAGGACATAGTGAGCATATTTCACTATGTTCATGGAAATAAAATATGTCTTTCAAATTGATTCATTACTTATTACTAGTAAATTACTAAATGATTACAGTGAGAAAGGCACGAGTTTTAAAAATAGATAGTGATCATTTGACATGTAATAAATGAGGCTTACTAATAGTAATGCATTACAGAAATAGAAGTAGATTTCAAACTATGGTATTTGATTAAAATGATATCTGCCTACAAAATGTTTTTATATCTAATTTATTACTCTATAATTTATTTTTATGTACTAAGATTTTCTAGCAAGATGATACTACATTACTATGACTATTATTAATATATTAAATTGTAAAGTGTATTATAAGACTGAGGGTTTCTTCACGAAATAGTATTATTTAATCTATTTCTTTTTAAAAAAATAATTTTTATCTGCAAACTTAGCTGGTTGCGAATTTATATTTTACAAAAGTGCTGACTATCCCATACTTTGTAATAGGATTTGACAATCATATGCGCAGATAATATGTGAATTTATATATTGGTATTTTGCTATTCCTTTGCACAGCGAGAGAAAATTTTAGGAGAATTTTGCAATTATTTATTGGTTAGCTAATATTTTTGCTTTGAAAATAAAGTGGCTTAGTCTTTCTCCAATTGATAATTTCATAAAGATTAGTCAAGAAACCAAGTGGCCATGTAAATGAATAATCGTAAAAATATTGTTTTAATAAACATATTTCTCTGATAATAAATAATTCAATCGGGAACAGGATTTAACCATTCCCTTGTCGGAACTTGAACCACAGATCTTCCATTTGCCAGTTGAATATGTTAACCATTTACATGACAAGAGTGCGCATGGGGGAATTTAATAACTCTTTACATTTTTCCTACTTAAAGGATGACTGGGGAAAGCCATTAGCTTTCTTTGACCAAATTTGACTCGCATTTTAGTTCGAGTGCTATTGTTAAGTTCAATTTTGTGTCACATCCATAATGTGAAAAATCAATGGGCTTATGTCGGAATTAAAACCACAGATCTCCCATTTGCCAACTGGATAGGATAACTAACAATCTCTTATATTATAAGCTTAAATTCATTGGTATTCTTAGTTTGGTTATAAATGCATCAAATAATGCCAGATTAAAATAACTTAATAGCATATCTCCTAATTTTTGTACCATTTAATTAAGTTATACATAACTGTCATAATTTCAGGTATTTTCTGTTTTATTGTTTTTTGCTTGTGGATCATATCATTAGCAAATTAATTTTTTCTGCCAGTCAATCAGCCTACTGCTAGTGAAGTAGTTTCTCATGTTACATGGAAGGGTGGTCATTTTAAATTTTTGCTGTTTATTTTGAAATGCTATTTCCAGAATAAGTTCCAAACACTGCAATAGTATTGCAAATTTTTTCACAATTATTGTAAGCGCTGCTGATTGTGAAACGAATTTTCTAAATAAAAACCACTTACAAAGTACCTTAGAACAAAAACTGCTTATTTTGCATGTAAGAAATATTTAAAAGCTATAAATGTTTATGCATTTAAGAATCCTTTCTGCCATTATAGGAACTGGAGCAATGATATAGACTTCTATGATTGAGGGGGGAACTACAAAGTAATACAAAATTTTAAAATATTAGAATTAAAATTTTTCTTCAAAACCAAACATAAATTTATTTTCCTGTATTTTATTTTTTTAGTTATTTGTTTGTATATCAAGAAGGCTGGTAAATTCAAGGGCTGCTTCGAGTGGCAAATCTCGAATTTATCTCTAGCTATGCCAGTGACATGTTCACAGCGAAACAATGAGGAAACTCCCTCAAATGAATATTCCTAGAACTTAAGCTGCATGGTATAAACTACATCACTTGTCTGTACTATGATTGATCTAAAGCTTCTTAAAGACTTGTCCCCTCTCAATGAAATCAAATGGACCCAACCGCGTATCAACCGAGGACCAAAGAATGCTTTTCTCAGTAAAGTTGAAAGCGATAGACAATACCAGTTTGAGTCAATATTGTACGTGTTCTAGATCCAGTGATCATAGAATAGGTGTCCTGGGTTCATCAGTATGGCAGTCAGCATCGCAAACCACCATATTGGCTGGGCAGCAACTCCAAATGGCAACATGTACCTCAAAAAAAGTGCAGAAAATGTTTCATAGTAACTGCTGAATGAGCACTGCTTGGAAACGAACCAAGCTGTGTGGACAGCAGAAACAGCTCAGGAATATGTGATGTATGTCACTGGTTAGTGTCTTAGAAAATTAACAATTAGACGAGATTTCTGCATATCTTTCTTCAAGTTGCCCTGCAAACAAAGACTAGACCATTAAGGTCTTTAGACCTGGATGAATTTGGGTTGTTTGTAAGAGAAGCAACATGAAATGATGCTCCATTACGCTTAAATATTTCAAAATCAATTGCTTTTTTTCTTTCTAATTTAGAAAATAGTATGTTATTTATTAAGTTATCTAAAGCTGGCCTAGAATGTGTACGGTTTGAAAGCAGAACCATATATTTGGAAATTACAAGGTAAAATATTATCTAGGTGATTCATCTGTACTCAATTACTGTAACAAATTCTTTTAAAGAAAGTCTAATATACGCTTTGGTATCCTGTTGTGCTATTGTACATTGTTAATTGGTCAAAATACAAATTTTTAGCTCAGAAAGCTATTGATTTCATTTTGGCATTTTGCATTGGTTCATTGTGAAAGTCTAAATAAGTTTTCAAATTGTTGACACCAAATATTAGAGCTTTGCATTATATCTGGTTATAACGAAAGTCTTTCGCCATAAAACGTTCTTAATAAAGTTAAGAAAAAACATGAAAGCAGTACCTGTAGTGCAGGTAGTAATCACCACCCAAATCTATGATTTTTTCTGCCCACATTTTGGTAGTTTTTCAAAGCTTTTGACCCAGAAACTTGGTGGCTGCGAGTCCAAAAACAGATCAACCTCCTTTCGGACGACCTGTGAAGAACCTTACTGCAGAGGGTTTTACTTTTTCCCAGATATTCTTTGTGGATAATACCACAGTAGTCCCACCAGATGTAAAGCATGATCTTTTTGTTAGTCAAAGAGCACTTAGGCTCATCAGGTGCAGGGCAGTCCCTTGGCTTGTGTTGTTGAAGTGAATCACTTTTTAGTATTTCTCATGGCATTTTCACCAAAAGTGACAATCCAGTCCAGAATTTTGTTCTTGCATTTATATTCGAGCAGATTAGTGCAGGTCTGAACGTGTCTGTCCGTACCTGTTTCAGTCAGCTCATGCGCCACCAAGCACTTGAACTTGTATATCAAGTTTATGCAATGCATAGCACAATTAATGAACATGACACTAACATCTAACTCTTTAGCAAGCTCTTGAGTGGTTGCATATTGATCTTCTGCAAGTTCTTGCAGTATGGCATCATCAATATCAGTAGGTTCAGATCAGTCAGCTCTATGTTTCTTGAGTGTCATAGTCCATGTTTTTGAACTTTTGGTACCAAATCTTCACAGTGTCATATGATACAACATTAGCACCTAAAGCTGTACACATGATTTGTTGACATTATGTAGCTGATGATTTTCAACAGAATGAAGTAAATGATGATTCTAATCTTGTAGCGTGATAATTCCATTTCAGACACCTTGTACTTGATGATATATTTTACAAATTTCACAATACATTGTTCTAAAGCAAGTCTTTCTCTTTTAAATGCCACAAATCGTTTGACAAACTATGATTAAACATGCCAACGCGAACTGTTTGCATACGTGATACTTGCAGTGGCAGGAAACTTTTGTTAAAACCTGATATTTGAAGAAATTAAATAATGAAAAATCTGCATGAATGTATGTATGATTCTCGCATTGTGAAAGAACAACGGCACCTAGAGACATTAAATTCTGAACAACGTAGTTCTCCACTCGAATATGGGCATCTGGAAGCCCAACTATATGTAACTGAATTGCAGAATGGATGGGATGACCAGTTGTGAAAAGGAGGATTCACATCTGCCAAAATTTCTTACAGAAGATGTGTTTAGGTAGATATCTGAATCAAGCTTTTGTTAAGTACAGGCGTTTTCTGATATATTAGGAGGATTTAATATAAATTATTGCATCTTTCATCATGTTGGTCAAATGCTGATGTTCCAGTAGTAGTATTCTAAAATGCACTATGTTTCAAAGCATATGGGGGAAAAAATCCTCCTGTGCTAATATCGCAAGAAAAGTGTTTGCCACACAAGAAGGAAGATTGATTCCTACATCTAAAAGTTGGTTTGTGTTTTTAATTCATTTTCTCAAGGGATATGAGGCTGTGTAAGATTTAGAATGAACGGACACATCATTAGTCCAAATATTCTGTGCATAATAGCATTACAATCTGATAAATCTGAAACTGAATCCGTGAAAAGGTGAAAATACTTATTTAATTATTCAAGGCAATTTTTTTTTAATTTAAATGATAAAATTTACTTTGAAAAAAGTTCATAATTATCCTTAAATGAAGTTCCTCTTTATAAATCCTTCTTCATAAGTATTAACGTCAAAATGTTTAATGCATGAGACCTCAGTGTTTTCTTAGGATAAAGGTTTAGTACTTTTATTGATACTAATAGATTCCTCAGTAAAATCTGCAGCTTTTACAAAAGCAGTGTGGTTAATGCACGATACCTGTGTGTTTTCTAAGGATACAAATTTAGAGTTTTATTGATATTAATAGGTTCTTCTGTAGAATTTGCAACTTTTACAAAATATTGGTTATCATTGTTAAATAAATTTACCAAACTAGTCATTAACCAAGGGCTGACTAAAGAGTGATTAGACAGTTATATGAAGACATTTGTAGAAAATGGTACAGTTGCAGTAATATACCCAAGTGTAAGTAATTCTGACTTGGGTGGAGGTACTTGCTTACATTTATTATATCCAAAAATAAGCTAATTAAGATATCTTCTGTTTGTACATATTGTTTTTTCATTTTCTCTTTTACATACTATTAATAAACCTTATCATATTTTTCAGTATGAGGTGAGATTAGATATGTTTTATTGCTGATGGTTGCACCATAAAACTACCAAATTTTAATGCATTTCCTATAAGAAATATTAGTTTTCCTTCAAAATACTTTATTTTATTCCATGATTTTTCCCCCCTCCCTTCCTGAAAACCATGATTGGGATTAAGTTTTCCTGTCATGTTGCACAAAAAGACTGACCACCCATTATTTTTAAGTTATTATTGGAAGTAATTTTTAAAAGAAAAAAAAATCATTTTTTGTTTTAAATGCTTAATCTCATAAAAATAAGTTACCAATTTTAGCACTCATCAGTGTTAAACATCTTTTATTTTATCTTGAAGTAAACTCTTATGTAAATTTTTAAGCACTTCTTAAATTAAGTGTAAATTATTTTTTAAATAGGTTTTACTCCTTTTGTAAATTAAGCTCATGCATTGAACTTTAACATTCATTGTAGCAAAGTTTTTTAAATAGTCAGTTAATATTGTATTTGTAATATTAGGTTTACCTGATGACTAAGGCAGAAGGGGGACGTAAAATTCCTGTAGTGAAACATAACAGAGCTGTTGTTTTCTCTAAAACATGGGACTGTGTTGCCGAAATAGATATTGAAGGAAAAGAAATGCTTATGCCTGGCGAAGATTCTGTGTAAGTTTAATTTCATATTGCATGTAAGAATATAACTCAGATTTGATTAAATGATCCTATATTGTTTTAAGGCATTCAGTAATTAATTATGCCATTTGCTGCTTTTTTAAAGAAATCATTCCAGTGTGATGTGTAATGAAATATTTGTGAAAGAACATGCAAGTATTTTAGATAAATTTTAATAGAGGAATGCAAATAAGATTTCTCTGGTGAACATTGTAAGCTTGTTTTTATTTAAATGCATCCTTTATTTATATTTGTAATGAAACTGACCAACATGACTTTGACCTGAAGATTGTTTGCTCAAGGTTAATTACTTCTCTTCCTTTTGAGGCAGCATAATTTACAAACGTAGAAACCTTCCAATTTAATAACAATTCAAAAGAGGCAGATGCTATTTCTCCCCCTCCCCATAATATAACTGAACTGGCCCGGCAGGATAAACGTGCCTTTCACTTTTGGATACGTAATTGGAAAGAATTTTAATTTGTTGAACTATGATTGGTTCCTCTTCAAAATCAACAAGAGCATCAACTTAACCTGTGATACATGATATCATGAGTATTTTGTCAATCGTCGGAGGAATGTCAGTTCCATTTTGCATATCATTTCCCTTATCCTCCTTCAGTAAAAATCCATAAATGTGTTTCTAAATGAATATCGGGGTTTTAGCGCTTTGTAGTATTTATTATGTAAGACTTTAAATTATAATTAATACGTGAAATGAAAGAGCAGCTCAAACAATTATACCTGCAAGGTTACACGAGTTCAGTGTAAGCACCTTTTATCACATGGCACACATCAAGTGGATAGTTCAGTTCTTTCCAAGCATTGATTAGTGTTTGTGGAATTGTTGCAACAGCTGCCTCAATCCTGTTTCTTAGGTCGGATGAGTCAGGTGGTAGTGGAGGCACATACACACAATCCTTAATGAACTAACTCGCACTATCCGTTATGAAGTCAACACTTTCTTTACTAACCCTTAGTCGTCCTGTACTCTTTCCTTTGCAAAGGCAGCAGGTATTTTCAAACTGGTAATACCATCTACGGATGTTATCACTTGAAAGATCACATCTGAACTTAATCTGTAACACATGTTGCACAGTAACTACAGATTCGGTCCCTGCAAACTGTAGAACACAAAAAGGTTTTTGTTCACTAGTCACCATTTTTGCTACTATTGTATGCGCATGTTCTATTTCTGGCGCGTGCACATACCATCAAACAAAATTGTTTGAGTTGCTCTTTCATTTCATATATTAATTGTGATTTTAAGTTTTATGTGACAAACAAAGCGTTAAAAACCCCGATATTCATTTAGAAACAACCTTGTAGTTTTTGAGGGACTTTCTTGAAATTGCAGGGAATCTGTAAGAGTTGGAGTGTCCATATTATGCGGTTTGACATAATATCAATCAAACTGAGAAAACATTGACGTTTCTCATAAGAGAACATGAATCATTTGTTCGAAAATGAGAAATAAAGAAATTTTTATAGCTAATCATAGCAGGACAGTTAATCATATTTTGGATTTGCAAAAATTATTTGTAAAGCTTCTTCATTTAATGGACTTGATTTCTTTAAACCCTTTTACATTAACAATAATTTTTCTTCCTTTGTTAATGGCTTTAATTTTCCAATTTAGTTCTTCCCAGTGCTTCCAAAATTCTAATAGCTGAACTTTTTCTTGTTTCATTCTATTTTCCCTGACAGATCACACTACATTCATTTTTGCTCCGCTCCATTGATTACTTTCCGTATAAAACAGTTTTGCGTTTCCCACTGCTCAAATTTTCTTTCCCCTTACTGAAACCAAAGATTTTCCCCCCTTAACTAAAAACCACTTAGCCGACATGTCAGTTTAGACAAAGATTTAGCCAAAGCCATGTCTACCATAGTATATGAATCTGTTTCAACAAAAAAGTAGTCCATACTTAGTCTACAAGAGAGCTTGATGAGGAGGTGTATGGGCAAGTACCATATTTTCTACCTTTATTTAATGCTAAAAAAAGTACATGATATTGTATAAAAAGATTTATATAATTGTTAAAATATACACAGTGCATCATATATTATTAGCAAAATTTGATGTTCCATATTTTTGTGAATTATAAAAGTGTGAAATAATTGAAAAATTCTTCTTAATTACTTATTGTGTTTATATACTTTCTTTGTAATCTTTTGCCTATTTTGTCAATATAAACTTGTTTTTTAAAATGAATTTATATGTATATATAATAGTAGGTAATAAAAATTAATACAGTAGAACCTTGATTATCTGAGTTTTGGTTGGCCAAGGTTCCATGTTACCTGAATCCATTGCAATAAATTTTAAAAAAGTTGTTAAAATAGCCTTGCTCAAAAGGTAAACAATCTGTAGACTTAGGTTTGAGCAGTAGTTCAAACCATAGAGTTAAGAACCTGATCTTACTATGTTTGAGTTCGGCAGCCTTGATTCTTTTGTTCTTCAGTGAAAAATCCATTAATTTTAATTTTTTGCACCACCTCAGCTGGTTAGTGGACATACCTGGGCTGTTTTTACACCTTAATCTTTACACCTCTTAATCAGTCTTTGGAACAAGAATTTTAGGTAACCTAAAGCAAAACTATTAGCTGTTAGAAGATCTAGAATATAACAAAATAGTTGTTGAAAGCAAAGAGGCAATAACGAATGAAGATGTTATGATCAGATGTGAGATGATGAACAATATGAGCTGTCTGATGAGGCCACTGTAAACATGAGAATTATTCAAACCAAGGTCAGTCACAGAGTTGGCTTGAATGTGATCAAAAAGGCAATGCTGTTTGTTGAACAGCAAGACGAACACATCACCAAACAACATTACTTCTAGGCAATACAGTAGGAAGAAAATGAAGCAACACAATGAAATAAAAGGCTGTTACTGATTTTTTTTTAATGTGTTATATGTTAAATATTCTATACAGTACCTCATTTGTATTACAGGTAGAGTGTTTTCAAGTTTATAGTACATTCCATATTTAGTTCTATATGTGCATCTGTACATTTGAACATACATATGTATAATATTGTATACATGCATGGATCCATGTATGCAAGTAAATTCCCTATAGTATGTGCAATAAGGCAATAGCATTAAAATTTTCTTTGTATCAATCTGTGTTACCCAACCTAGCCCCGGTCTACATTAGCTCAGATAATTGGCAAAGTTGAGAATTTGCAACTGTCAAAACCAAAATTGATTAAATGCTTAGTTTCTTTAAGTTTCTTCTGTCCACAAGCAAATGGCAAACCGTATTGCTCTGTTATCTGTACCTGTATCAGATTCCTTTAAATAATAAAAATTTCTGTGCTTTTTTTATTACAAATGCTTCATTTATATGCAAATATTGAGGAATTTAATATTTTCACCAGTACGTGGCATCCATGCAACTTCTTTGTGTTTTATTCTCAATCTGTATCAAGTATATTGAGCAATTTGTCTTGCATTTAACAACATACTTAACCCTTTCGTGGGCCATTTATTTCGCTTTTGATTTTCTCCCCTTTTTTTATGTTTTATCAACTAAACAATAGCATTTAAGGAAATATATTTAATTTTGCCAAATTTTTTGTTTACATTTAAATTCTAGGGGTGGGAAGTATACTTCCCACGACCTTTTATGGTCATAGAGAAATTCAAGTTAAAGGCGATTATTTCCGTGAAAATAAAAACATATTGCAATGCACAAGGTACTTACATACTGCACACTAGATCGGTCCTCTTTCTTGGGCCTTTGTCTACTTTTCTACATCGTCTATAGTTGGAACCATCTTGGCATATGATTTCCCACATTGGCAAGTATATATCATCCGGTCTGCACACCTTTTTGCTTGGAAGCTAGCAGGACGTAATTTTCCTTTTCGAGGAAATCCGCTATTAGTTGACGAGCTATGCGATATGAATGGTTCGCTGTCTAAATTTCTGTTTCTCTTGTTTACTTCCACAGTATAAAACTATTTACGATGCCATATCATAAGAAATCAAAATACGTATGCCATCCATTCTACAGATCTTCCTCCTATTTGGTTCTTTCTTTTCCTTTGATCGAAACATCAACCCCTCCCATGATATCATATAACCGCAACAGCTTTAGGACAAGTACTTCTGTTTAGTACCCGTCCTTTTTTGATACGATTTACAGATTAATAATCGTTGATTTGTGTGCAGTATCAACAGTGTAAACAGCCTTTTTTGTACAGTCACACTTTAGTTGCAGCAACCCTTCCTTAGTTAGAACTTGATTCTCCTCTTTGTAATTTGGTTATTAGTCCTTCAGCATTGTGGAAGATCCTTCTTTGCTGCCTCACATCTCCCAAAGAAAACAGCCACTTATAAGTAGACTTTTTGGCATTCTTAAAAGATGTCAAAGAATTATCATAGACTATAAGATGACCTTTCTGTTTTTTCACATCTTCCGTAGTTTCATTTGTTTCCCCTAACTCCAGTATTTTATCCTTAGTTATCAGAAGTTCTTTTTCCACATTAAATTTCAATTTTTTTGAATATTCCATTTTTAGGTCTGCTAAACACCACACCCTTGTAACTCTTTTTATAGGCTTCATTGGCATATACTCTTCAATGAGTTCTCCATTTGAACGCTATCATACATTCAATTTCATATGTTGACGACGGGTTCGAGACTTGACTTTTAGGTATGGAATCGTTGAGATGTGAGAGATTGGTCGGACTTTCATGCCCAGTTGCCCACATGGAACTTGTGCTTTATCGTTACATGTAAAGTCTTAGTATTTTTTTTTTTTTTTAACTCTTTTGCGATTATTATTCTTGCTACTGCTTGAACATTGAGAATAGGGTCTGTTCCCCAATAGTTTTTTCAGCTCAGACATTGATGTATCCCATCTATTAATATGCATACCTACCCATTGCTTCAATTTCTTCTGATGTGATTTCTTTCCATTTCAAGATAATGTTCTTTTTGTGGTATGACCCAATCCTTCCTTTTCTTAGGCTGCTTGCATCTTAGTTTTTTGACAACAAAGATTCTGTAAAATTATTCGCTCGGTAAAAATTCATGCCAAATAATCGCTTTTCTTTCTCATAGAATTGATGATATTTTTCAAATGTAATTTTAAAAATTTCCTTGTTTTCCAACATACCTTATTGGCCGTGGCTTTTATAACATGGAAGCGATGCAAAGCATTTCCTTTTCACCCATGATTGAATTATTCAATATTAGATAGTTACTGCAGAAATATGCAAAAATAAGAAGAACGTTATTATAATAAAACAGTGTTTTACTTACATCTGTAGCAAAATCGTATAGCAAATGCAAATGCACCATCAAACAGGGTCTCCGTGGAACAGATCTCCACATCATTCGTAACTTTCAAACCACGTTGGCAATTCTGTTTTTCAATCGATTGAAACAGATGGCAGCACATACGGAGTTAATTAGATTTCCCACATTTTAATACCAAAGCAATATATTATAGTGTGTGTTTTTTACGCTTTCCACAGGTGTGTTTCCCAGGATCATGTAGGTGGGAAGTAATCTTCCCACGGCCCACGAAAGGGTTAAAGTTTCTAATAAAAAATTTTGCTACTATCGGAGAAGTTCATAATTTAAATGAAATTTATTGGTATCTTTTCTGCCTGAAAAGGTTATACGTACTCCTGTATTAAAAAAGTATTTCTTTTAGTAGAGAACAAAGTGTGAAACAAAACTGATAAATCACCATTTTTCTGCTATTTTGGTTTGTTTTGTTGTTGTTTTTCTGTTTTCTTTTAAATAAATGCATATACCTATGTAAAAATAGATGCAATTGCTTTTTCAGGATAACATTGAAGTTCATTAAACCAATGGTAATTGAATCAGGCCAGAGATTTACTCTGAGAGATGGTACTACCACTTTTGGAACAGGAGTTTTCACAAAAATTAATCCTGATTTAAATGAGTTAGAAAGGGACAAATTATTAAAAGGCCGTAAGAAGGAGAAAAGAGCAGCAGCTCAAGAAGAACTGAAGAAACTTATGAATTGATTTTTATAAGTTATCCACATAGCATTTACCTAGTTATTAATGTATTGTTAATGTAACAGAAAATTAGTCATAAAAAGTTTTAATTGAAGTCATTTTTATTTGTGTACAAAATTGAATATTTTTACACAAACTTGTGATTCTCGTTAAGACACCCCCTTCCAAAAGCAAAAACACAAGTAGAAGTATTACGTGTTAAATAGTGATAAAGCAACTAAAGTGCCTGAGATCTAGATTTTTTTTTTTTTCTATTAAAATAGTATTAAGCAAAGTAAGGTAATGGGGTGCTATTCATTAACTACTTATTTTTTATTTTATTTTCCCCTTATTTGCAAGTACACATTGTGGTGGAAGTGTCTGCTGTAGTCGATATTTAATTCTTCGGATTGTGAATATCATCATTAATTGTGCTAGTTACCTAAACCAGAAATGGAAGTTTTCTCCCTAAACCATGAATTTCTTGCTTTGACGGGTAAGAACTGCTCGGCTTTACATCATAACAAACAACATGCAACAAAAAGCAGTTAGGTTTGGTTAAAATTGCATGATTTAAAGGAGTTGAAAATTTAAAATTTAAGCCTCACATTAGCACAATAACATCAATAAAAAATGTTTCATTATTTACATTTGTTAAATGTTATAATGTTTTATATATTAATAAGCATATTTTTAATATAATAGATTTTTGTGTATCATTCTAGTGCATTATTAAAGCTAAAATTAAAGAAAAATTTCAAATTAAAGTTTTGTTTATTTAAAATATAATGCTTAAAATATTTTTAAGGTGATTGAGACTGTTGCTTCAAATAATAAAGGATAATAAAGGTGATTATTCATAGCTCTAAATAATAATTGATTATGTATACTGAGATGATTCTTTTAAAACTTAAAATTTTTTACAGTGGTGTGAGGAATATGTGCTACTGTAATATTAAATCATATTTCATCTACAGGCTACTAGTAATGAAGTAGATAAAGCAACTAAATTCTTCTAGTTTTAGCCTAGATTTTCAGTCAATGGATTTACCCTGAAGTATTTGTCAGTATTACAAGATTTAAATCTCTGTCATACTGGATTTTTTTTTTTTTTTTTTTTTTTAAGTAAAAATGTTACTTTGAGAACTCTTAAACAAAATTTTGAAATATTTTCTTTTTTCACAATGGAAATTTGAGGGACATAGCTAACATATCATTGTAAAAAACATCCTAGACATTTAAGATTATATATATGTGCAGCTGTATATAATATAACTATTTATGTAATCTTGTAATTTTTGAAAGCTTTAATACCTCAAGTAATTTAATTGTGAGCAGGGTTTTGTATTAATTTACTAATTTGGGCATAAAGTCCATTTTCTCTCTCTTTACCATTCCCCCATAACATCAGAATAAAAACTTAAATTGTGTATTTTTTATTGAAATATATCACATAATTATGTTTGCCATATGAAAAATATATTTACCTTTTTACTATTGTGCTGGAACTGTGAATCGAGTCAATTATTCAAAAATATTTTGGTATGCATTATTTTTTTAATACTCTTATAAATTCAAGTTTGCAAATACTATTAAACGCATATTAGTAGTGATCACACAGTGTTTTAAAATAGATCCCAATATGTTAACTGATGCAACTTTTGTGAAATTTTCAAAACTAGATTTAAGGGATCAACATTTTGTATGTTACCGAACATTATCATAGTTTGCCAGGCTGCAAACAGGTTGGTTAAGTTTAGTATCTGCAGAGAAAGCAGCAAAAAGCCTAGTGCCTTGCATGAATGTTTGTTACTGATTTTCTGTAACCATGTAGTTTCTTTGATTCTTACATTGTTTTATCATTTATGAAAATGTTGTATATTTTCTTAAGCATTTGTTATTAATGCTTACATAGTAATAAATTCATACTAAAATTAAATAAAAGAATGTTTTGACTGTTATATTGGTTCTAAACTACATGCTGTTTGATACGCTGAAGTGCCGAAAGAATGTAAAAGGTAGGCCTATGCAGAATAAATAACACTATCAATACACGTCATTGGTTACCCCTATGCAGAAAAAGGTGAAAAGCATCTATGGTAGTTCTTAAAGTCGTTTATGCTTTTTCATGATTTAAATAGCTTTTAATGTTTAAATTAAATTTTGTTTAATGTTTCAAGAATTTCTGAGATGGGTCATAGTATTCCAGAGATAGAGGCCAAGTTAAGATTTTCATATAACACCAGTATACTCTAACTGCGATGATTCTGGCAAAGTTTTGAATTAACGACACAAATGCATTCGTTAAAAGATTAGATGTATAGTGAGCAAAAAAAATTGGAAACTGTTATATATTTTCCGTTTTACCTGGCCGATAAATGAATTTCGACTTTCTCTTTTTTTGTCTCAAAAGCACGACTTAGGACGTGTATAAGATTTATACAGGGTGTACCGTAAATGCTGTGACAAACTTCTAAGGGAGGTGGGTTCATAAGGATTAAGAATTGCATAGGAACCTATACCCAGAAATGT